AACACTGAACTCTGTGAGGCAGAGACCATGGCTGTCTTATTGATCGTTGATCAACCGAGTGGACTACTGGTTGAATGAATGACAGGGACCTCATCCACTCCACTCATTTACATCACTTCCCATGAAGTATCAACTTCCAAATCAGCACCTTCAGCCCCATTCCCTCCAGACCCAGGTGCCTCCTGCACAACTCCACAGGCATCTCTGGGCCAAAACAGAATGTCTCATCTTCCACCAACCCGAGTCCCCTGTGCTGTTAGTAGCACCACCATGTATCCACCCGGACCATAGGTGGGATCCACCCCATCCGCCCCCCACCTCCCCTGCTCCCAGTCTGCAGCTGTTGGTAGGTGTTTGCAGCAACCCTCCATTCTTCTTGTTTCCACTCTCGCTGCGTGCCCAAGCCATCCTCCACACAGCCCCTAGAGAGACCTTTCCCAAACCCAGAGGCCACCAGGACCCAGCCCTTCACACCTGCGAGATAAGCCTCACTCCTCCAGGCAGGTGTAGCTTATTGGCTGCAGGCTTGAAATCAGACTTCCCTGGGCGAATTCCACCCTACCAATTTTATATCAGTGTAATGTTGGGCAAGTTAGTAACAAAGGTGCCACACTACCTGAATCTGAAAATTAGGGGCAAAATGATGACGATCTTATCAGGTTGCAGTAAAGAGTAAAAGAGTCAATATAGGTAGAGAAATCACAGAGTAAATAAATGCTCAGTAAGTGTTAGCAACAGTCATTATAATGTCTTTCTGTTTAGCCTGCAATATCTTGAGTAGCCACTAGATGGCCACACTGCAGGCTCTCTGTGACTCTTCCTACTCCAGTCTCTGCCCTCTCCCCTACAAGGATGTTGTACATCTGGGTGCTGATGTTGTCAAGTTCACGGCTCAAGTTTTCCCTTCTGCCAGCCTCACTTCCTTCAGAACAGCTTCCTCTCACCCAATACTCACAAAATGGGCTATACTGTATGTCTGCGAGCTCCTGGAGGGCAGGTCATCTCCAGGACATCAGGCAGAGTCCCTACATAGAACAAGCACTCAGTATTTGTTGGATGAATGAATCTGTTTCCATCAGTCCCAGCTCAGCCACTTAAATAATTTGTGTGATCCTGGACAACTCACTTGACCTCTCCGGGTCTCAGGTTTTTGTGGGGTTTTTTCTAAATGGACATTAAAAAGAAGCTCAACTTCATATTTGTAGTAAGAGTCTAGTGGTTTCCTTAAGAGTTGAATCCATTTGCTCTTAGTCAATTCACTGTAACCAATGGGAGTGGTAGGGGAAGATTCCAGTTTGCTTTGCGGTCACCTTCTGCAGGTCGTTCACAAAGTACAGCACTTTTTTTTGCGGAATGTTTGTTCTGTCCTTTACCCTTTCTCCCTATTGCTTGCAATATCTTAAATAGCCATTAGATAGCAGAGGTCACACAGTCTTTGAGAAGATCAATGCTGGACCAGCTAACCCCTTTGCCTGTACTGGGGTCTTCATAATGGCATTCTGGGTCATTAGGAAACGTGTTCAGAGAGGTTCAGATGTGGTTCCCAGGTCATGAATCTCTCCCATTTGTCCTGGAAAGAGAGATGAAGATCCCATCCTACAAAATGTTCATCTGTGTCTAACAGCCCCTGTCCTTACCTGTCCCTGACCTTCAAACCTTTCTTTTAGAGCTTCTTTTGGGTCTGTAATTGAAAGAAATGGCACAAAATAGACATACAGTGTAATTACAACTACAAGAAGGCAAAGCAACCTGCAAGCACCAAATTGCCTGCCTCCCCTCAGTGACATCATGAGTTACATCATGCCAGTACTCTGTGTGACTACCAGAGGATAATTTAACTCTAACTAAAGATAGCATCAACCAGACCTGCTACAATTCATTATACACCATGTACAGCATTTAATAAAAACTCGGCAGGCTTGCCAAGAAATAAGACCAACTGACCGAAAACACAAAAGCAGAAACGAACAAAAAAAACCCAGATGATCGAAATAGTCCCACAATAATCCAGATATCAGCTACCAGACAAAGACATTAAAATAACTACAGTCGGTGTGTTTTAGAATACAGAGGAAAAGATAGAGAATTTCATCAAATAATTTAATCTTTAAAAAAAGAGTAAAATAAAAATTCTGGAATTACTTAGCAAAGTTTTGTAGTTTAGTGGGATGTCCTCCCTCCTTGGCTTTTGGATAAGCAAATTCTGTCCCCAGTGCATCTGAGGAAGTGTTCTCTAGAGCATGGAACCTCAACATGGAGTAAGGTAGCCATGGGGTGTTTAGGCAGAGACAGGATTCTGAATTGCATAGTGTGCCTGGTGTAAGTGTAAATTCTCTCTGCAAGAAGTTTACATCATCCTAAGCCTGCAGTCAGTTTGGTCAACAGTCTGTCAGTCTACATGGTAAAAAGTAGCCAGGTAGTAAATTAGCCCAAGCAACATGAAGAAAAAACAAACAAACAAACAAACCCAGAAGAAATGACACACAGCAAATACACATCTACAGGAGTTCCAGGCATTAGAATTATGAGACTCAATTTTAAATAATTTAAAAATAATTTTTCTTAGTAAGTAGGTGGTAAAAGATTGAAAATTTCAGCAGGTAACTGGAAATTATAAAATACATGAAACAGAAGGGAGAGGGTATAGCTCAGTGCTAAAGTGTGTGCTTAGCATGCACGAGGTCCTGGGTCAGTCCCCAGTACAGCCATTAAATGAATAAATAAATAAAATATATGAAATGGAAATTCTATAACTAACATTGTTAGTAGCAAAGCAATAAGATCTCAGTAGTTGCACTGACATCAGGTTTCACTCAGCTGCAAAGAGGATTAGAGAATAGTAAATTACATCAGATCAGTATATTCAAATTGAAGCTCAGAGAGATAAGATAGGAAGATACAGGGAAAAGTGTAATAGAAATATTGGGGATAGGTAAAAGGGTCTAATACACATGCCTGGCATCTAACGGGTGACGAGTAAAGACCACAACTGTTGTTTTCTCAGTGTTTGCACCCTATAGGTTGTGCCAAACAACATGAAGGCTAGAAAGCTTCACTGGAGCCAGCCTAGAGGTCACAGAGTCCAGCCTTCTGAAACCACAGGATTCTTTCCGAGAGTAAAGTGAGTTTTCTTGTTTCTCTGAACTACCTGAGACATTTATAATTTGTAAATCACTTAGGCTTTAAGTTCTCACAATTACTTCACTCAGGACGTCTAAGCAGATCCAAACTCTAAGAGGATGAGTTTGGAGACTGAAAACTGCATCTTTCCTACGAGTTCCACATGATCTGGAGAGAGCCCCTGGTCCGTCCCCGCCCCCGCCGAGGCTAAGGCTCTCCTTCCTCCGCCGCCCAGAGGGCTGTCTTCTGTCTGACACCCGGTGTCTACAGGTCCTGCCCATCCTCCAGCCCTAGCTGCAGTGGCTTCAGACGCCATTCTTAATTGCTGCTGAGCAGGGAGTCTCCCCCGGGTGGGCACCCCCACTCCTCTCGTCTGAGCCACAGGACGTGATGCTTTGCTCCTCGGCTTTGTTTTCTCCCAGCGCGGTGAGTCTACTGGACTCAGCCATTCATTCAGGGAGCTCTTACTGAGCACCTACCCTGGGATAGGTGCTGGGTGTATAAACATGGTAAGGCAGGGTCCTTGCCTTCATGACTCTTATGGCCCAAGGATCAGATAATCCCACACGAATGGCTGTGAACATAGCTCCGAGGACTCTGAGTCTCCTGTACCATGAGCCTGGTAGCATCTCACTTCAGGGGCCTGGTAGGGGTGCTCTCCCCTCCTCTTACCAGCATCACCTGCACTTTCTCATGTATCATGGTGATGAAAATTTTCAGAAGGTTGATACTGAAGCCGGGTTTTACAATCTGGCAGTGCTATAGCCACTTAGACCCATGCAGGGTCACCAGTCCTTGACCTTATGAAAGGAGAAGGGCAAATACTCATAGTGCAGGCCAGGGAAATGAGGAGAGACTGGTGCACAGGCAGCAATCCTCTGGAGGGGAGAAGTCCAAGTGAACAGAGCTCTGGAAGAATGAATGAATGAGTGTGAGCAGACCTAAGACTTTGGGAGTTAAGTGCAAGCCATGCTCAATTAACTGGTAATTTCACATGTGAGTCGTTTTATCCAGCTGGACTCTGAGCTGCCGGTCAAAACCAGGGTGGCATCTCCTTCTCTAATGCCCCACGGTACCAAGAACAGTGGTGTTTCTCTACAGAAGCTTGTTCATTGAACAACCTGGTTTTATTGCTGCATCATCAAGTGATGGTGGCTCCTGGGGCTCATGCACGTCCCTTCCCTTCCATGGTTTGACTGTTCAAGCATTCTGTAGACTATATAAGCTGATAAGTTCTCTTTTTGTCTAGTTTGGTTTTCTCACTTATAATTGAAATAGTCATGGTTAAAATAAAATTTATGAGAGTTGCACTTTTAAAGTTCGCTGTGCAGACACCCCTTTTGTGTCCTTTCAGCTCTAGCCTCCACTGTGATGATGAACTCTGTGTGAGCCAGCGCCACTTAGGCACAACTACACAGCCCTCACCAGGCTTCACAAGAATTGTCAGTACCAGGAAAATATGTAGAATATCTTGATAATGTTCCAAATGAAGGCTTTCTTATCCAAGACTCAAAACCCAGAGATCATAAAGAAAAGTTTATATATTTTACTTCATGAAAGTTTAGAAGTTCCATAAGGTAGCAGACACCATAAATACAGTTTTAAAAGAGTAAACGAATGGGGGAAAATTACAAAGAAAAGTTATAATCAAGGCTTGTTATCCACTCTCTATAAAGAACTCATATGAATCAATAATAAAAAGAGAAACAACTTCACAGAAAAATAAACATAGATGACATACAAATCACAGAGAACAACACAAAGATAAACATAAAAGGCCAGTAAGCATGTTTTTAAAACTGAAAATAACTTAAGCACCCAATAATCGGAAAATAGTTAACTAAATCACACCCACATTACAGAATAGCATGAAGCCATGCTGAGGAGTGAGATATATTTTTATTAAGAGAAAAAAAGCATAACAATACGGGTATGATCACATGGATAAGAACATACACATCCGTATGAAATGTACAGAAACAAGTCCGAAAGCATGCACACAAAACTGTTCTATTTTAGGAGAAGCAATAGGATTGGGCAGGGAGGTGTGCGCTGTGTGACATGGGACTTTACTGCTTCCTCTATATGCGTCTCTAGGCTTACAAATCTTTTACAGTGAGCAGACATTCATCCATTACTATGTAATTCTAAAAAAAAAATTAAAACAGAAAATCTATGGAAGTCATCTAGCAAAATTCTTGATATTTGGCATTAGTGGTAGCCAGAATCGAACAGACAGGATCTGCACATCTCCCAGTCATACAGAAACTGATCTAGGCGACAGACACCCTCTGGTACCTTGAGATGTTTTTGAATACTGTACAGCTCTCCAGAGACCCTCACCCCATCTACCCTTAACCCTACAACCATACTTTGATTCTTCTTCATTTTCTTGAACCATTAGTTGTGATTTAACTTTAAAACAAGAAGTATGTAATCATCATACTGTGGGCTCTAACATTAGGGGAGTTTCTTCAGGTGCAAGTAGACTCCATTCTTGGGTTTGAGGAAGCAATGAGGCATGGTGACAAGAGGCCTGGTGGGGTCTGGAGTCACCTTGAAGCTGAGCAGAATTAAAGCAATGGCCACCTTTATCTCAGCCATGGCAAAATTCTGCCCGATGCAATTCCTGCAGACACGAAGGGAAAGGAAGAAATACTTGAAGAAATGGTGTTTCTCTGACTCTTTAATAAGATACTGGAATAACATGTCTGATTTCATAGTAAGGCAATATTCTCATACTAAGTGTCATACCAACCTTTGGACTTTGGACTTACATTGTTCTCTGCAAGAATATAAGCTGGAGGTTCAAGGTGGCGCCCTCCCTAAACAAAGCGGCACCTGGGGCTACTCACAGAACTGCTTCTCCTGTGAAGTTCTGATGAAAAGTGTGGTGACTATAGTTAATAACGCTGTATTATTGTAGAATCAAAATTTGCTAAGAAATCAGAACTGAAATGTTCTCACACACAAAAAAGGTAAATATGTGAGGTGAAGGATGTTAATTAACTCGATGGGGAGGAGTCTTTTCACAATGTATATATCAAATTATCATGATGCACACATCAAATATCTTACAATTTAAAATTTTAATATGAAGATGAAATAAAAGATAAATTTTAAAAAAAGAATTGTTCCTCCTTTGTTGGGAGTGGACTTGCATAGAGCCCATGAGTAACAGCTTGTGTCACTGGATAACCTTTTGAGGCATGGCTGTGTGGGATGCCAAAGAGAAGGGTGTTGTCCTTCATGAAAGTAACTGGCCCCTTCAGGGGCTCAAACAAGCACCCAGATCTACCTCATAGTCAGGTGAGAAGATGAGTTTCCACAGAAAAATGTATAGACCTGAGAAGCTAAAGAGGGGAGGCTATTCCCAAGTAAACATTTTTGTGTATTTTCAACAACTTTGGACTGTCCTCACCTTGGTCCAGCTGAGAATGGTAAGAAAGAGTAGGGGTGTCTCTGATCATTATTCTCTGGAGAGAACCTCAAGGGGTCAAAGACCTGAAATGAGAGGGCAACCCCATCACCATCCTCACGACACCATTAACATATTTCTGAAGCTACTTCTTAGCACTGATCAACAGAAATACAGTGGGAGCCACATACGTCATTTCAATGCTCTGGTAGCCACATTTTTAAAAGGTGGAATGAATTTCAGTAATAGAATTTATTTACTAGAGAATGTGATTATTCCAACATAGATTCCATATAAATAATTATTAAGAAAATAGCTCACATTTTTTTTGTACTATAGCTTCAGAATTTTACATTTCCAGCACATCTCCGTTCTGACTAGCCACATTTCAAGCGCTCCACAGCCATACGTGCCTGAGGGCTGCCACACTGGACAGCACAACTCTGGACCCGCGGACCTCATCTGGCCCCCCAGCTGGTTTGTAAGGGGAAGTCAGAAACATGATGGCCAGTGGTGGTGTTTTCACTCGGGAGGTGGAAGTGCACCTACTTACAAGTCAAGCCAAAGTGATTATAGGATCACTTGTCCAACTGCCCATCACATGTTTGAAACTAGTGGCTTATGTAAAAGGAAGTATCTGTACACTTGTGTTTCAGTGTCAGTGTTTCTGTATACAGTGTGTGAGTTTCAAGGACATTTGGGGTTTCAAGAAATTCAGGTGGGCTACATGTCTTCTTTTTGCCTTTCCAGATCCTCTCTCCTCCTTTTCCACCCTGCTCTGGGCTCCAAACTGGCCCATGTGGTTTCCTGTTGAGTTTGGCCAATAAAAGGCATTGATAGGAAGTCTGGAGGGTGGGCGGAGAGAGTATTCAGGGTATTTATTCCTGGGCCCCTCCCAGCTGGGCTGCCTTAGGTTAACTGCTTGCTCTGCTGATGGCCATGACTCCTGTCTGATGGTCTTTCCCAGAAGCAATCTCTCTTCAGGTTTTGTAACTTTCTCTCCCGTGTCCATCAGGCCTAGAAGTGGGAAGCCCTTCGGCAGTTACTTGCTCCATTTTGCTTCTCCTAAACCCTACCTAGACAGTTCCTTATAAAACTCTCCTCAAGTAGCCCACCTTGACTGTGTCACTGATTTCCTGCCAGAATCCTGACGGCTACACCCGGCAAAGGGGAGTGTGAGTTACCTGAGTGACTGCGGGTAGTCCAAGTCTTGCAGGTGTCTAGGGAAGTGCTGGGGAGAGCTCGAGAAGTAAATGACTGAAACACAGACTGCGGCAATTTGCAGCAGATTTTGTGGGATTCTGCCAACCTGCTCATTCAAAACCAGATGAGGTAGGGATAGAGGAAGAGGACAATTGTCCTTGGGTGGAAGTTTTACATTTTTGGTCATGTTTATTTTTGCTTAGTTGTGTCACTTGCTACTTCCATGCAGAGTTAACAAAAAGTAAATTGCACAGCATAAGTTCTTGGAACTATTTATGTGTAAGACAATCATACCTTTGGGTTTTCCCAGATGGCAGGATTGTGGTGGAGACCCCAAATACTGAGAACTAGGGTCATTCCTGAAAAAGGAAGGAAATAAAGGAGATAGCAGGAAAAAGAGCAAGTCATGAGCTCCTGTTATACTGTCCTTCAGTACGACTTTTCTTCTTGAAGAGAAAGAGCTAGCTCCTGGCAGAGCCCTGTGGGCTATAGCAGACGCCAGCAGTGAAGGACCCACGGGAAGATGGGGCTTGGTGGCACCTTAGTTTTCAAATCAATGACCTGTTTCATACTTGATTCTATCTTAAGGAGCTAATGGTGTCATGCCAAAATGATAACCTATGCTTATGTTTTCTACTACCTCTGGTACTTAACTTGTACACCTACTAACGGACTATGACGTACCCAGAGGCAACAGTTTGGGTATGTAAGAACAGAACCGCACTTCCTTCGTGCAGATCCAATGATAAGTTTCTGTTGCTGCCGTTCATACATGAAAGGTAGGGAATTTTGGCAGCTATCCGTGTGGTTTGGGGGTTTTAAAAAAGACAGAGGAGAGAGAACTTGAGGATTATTTGGTCACCAGAAGTAACTTTGGTAAATTAATTCTGGATCTCTCAACAAAGTGACAGTAAGCGACAGGCTGTTGGCATTGATACAAGAAATCCTGTTGGCTTGTTTCAAAGGGCAAGAGTTCATAAAACACTGCAGCAGGCAAGTGAAGGGTGTCTGCCATGCCCTTTGGCTTTCACTCGCCCTGCTCAGAGACTTGTGCTGTTTGGAAGAGCACTGGGCTCTGGGCATGGGACCTCCCAGCACGTTCTAGCTCTACTCATCCATGCATTGGGGTCCCTCAGTGAGTTTTTGGCTGCACCAAAAGTATCTGAAAGTACTTTGTAAACTGCAAAGCACATATAAGTATCTGATGAGATCATGTTCCAAGGAAGAAAAATGAGATAATATGTTTGAAGACTTTATGTAAACTATTAAGTGCTGCATCTTTATTAGAGAAATATTATGATTATGATGAAGACAAAGACCCTCCTTGGTCTTCAACTTAAAGATCACGGTGCACATCTCCCAGATGTCTTACCTGGGTCTCAGACTCAGCCAAACAAGGATTATTTTAGAAACAATGTCTCACAATGGAAGAAACCCTGGGTTGGGATCCTGGGTGACACAGATTCTAGGCATAGCTTTGCTGCAAATGGCTACGTGCTGTTGGGAAAGCCTCTGAAACCCACATCTGGTCAAGGCATTACCACTGAGCACTTAATAGGTGCCCAGCTCTAAGCCAGCTGTCCTTAGGATTGTCTTTTGACTCTTCCAAGAGTTTGAGAATCCCTATGGTCTTTTCACTGTGGCCCCCAAGATCCCATGGTCTCTAGAAACTGCTTAGGAAAAGAATGCAAAGACCTGCAGGCAAGGAGCGTCCATCTGGGAAGGTAATGGGCTTGCTGAGCTCTCTGGACAGGGACAGGACTGGAGGTGCCAAGCGCAGTGACTCCTTAATGCACATCGTGGTGTAGGACATCTCTCCCAGCTGGTCCCTGTGAGAACAAGAGAGGGAGGGAGGGGAACTCAAGACTCTATGTCCAGTTTGTAAATATCGGTATCTTTTTATAGTTGATGTTAGCTCCCAGTAAATATCATCCTCAGGCTAAAGCTATTTTGCCCATTGGCTTATGTAACAGAATGTTAACATGGGACTCTTTCTGCCTCAGGATCAGCTGAGGTCCCAGAGGAAGAGGACCCAAACAGGTGCCAAATAGCCTCATCATAAAGTGTGGCGCTAAACCATGGGTAAGGGATTTGTTAAGGAGATTTCTGAAAACCAGTTTTGCAATTCTTAGCTTCTCATATAAATCAAGAATGTATAAGGAATGGCGAAGGAGTGAAGAAGACAGGCAACTTAAGAGTTTTGAGAGAGGAAAAAAATAAATCCTTTGAAGGAATTGTTGGAATGCAGAGTGCCATGGAGAATGGAGAAAGGGCTCCCCCGGGTTAAGCAAAAGGGAGTTTCAAGAGGATCAGTTAGATCAACTGACACGTGCTCCTTGGAGTTTGGGGAGCATGGGACTGATAGGAAGGGCAGTGACTCAGAACATACAGAGGCAGGAGAGCAACAGGGACAAAGCGAGAATGCTCCAGTGTGTCCTACGGGCCACGGAAACGGCAAGAAAGAGCGAGCTCCGCAAGCAGCTTGAAAGGAACCCTGACAGAGAACGAGTTCTCTTGCCCCATGAGTCCCTATTGCCAAGTCCCAACGAGGGAATCTCCAAAAACCCACAGATGCACACTGAGAGTATAAGGGAGCACTGAATAGCCATCAAGTTCAGAGGACCAAGATTGCAGAAATACCAGCTGTTGTCTCCTCATGCTCTCCCCAACCCCGGGACCATTTCTGGAAGGGTCAGAAACAGCAGCTACTGGGCAGGGAAGGAGCTGGTCGGTGAGCAGACGCCAGCCACAAGCCCCTCGCCCCACTAGCCTCCAGACCCAGAGAGGTACTGAGCTGCAATGGATGGAGACGCTCTAAGTGGAAAAGAAGGTGAACTTTTTATGATTACACTGGACTAGATTAATTGTTGAAACAAGACTGCTCTTGTGGTTTAAATGGATGGGAACTCTGAAATTCACTCAAGTTTTACCCTAGAGATGAAAAGTACTTGCCCCACACAGCAAGTTTGAAGTGTCAGCGGGAGGACAAAGTTCTTAATTTGCATCCAAGCTGGTAAGTTTGGTTCAATAAGACGACAGCATACATTTAGTCAGTCTGCTTTATTATATTTCTACTTGCTTTTTTGATGACTTCTTTTGAGTGCAGGTTCTGGCCATTCCGTAATGTGAAATTTTAATTTTGAACTCTTTTTTCCTCCAGCCCAAAATAAAAAGAGTAATTCCGCTTAGCCAAGCACTTTTCACACTTAAGAAAAACCAAGTTGCCCATCTCACCCCTGGTGCAAAAGGAAGAGAGGCATTTTAACCCAATGCAGGAATGGGTTTACAAGTAGCCAAATGGAGATGTCAAACAACTTTCCCGCTTTCCCAGAAACTGTTCTTTGCAGTATGGTTTTATTATCTGTCTAAAAGAATTACAAATTTTCAGAAAGCTCTGTATGAATTTCATTAAATGTAACTATAAGGGCATATTATTGAATAAAAACATATTTTAGTCACTATAATATTGTTACCATTTCTTTCATGAAAACCAATGTTAGTTAACAGATCCTCTGGACTTTGTTTTCTTACCTGACAAAGATTTCTTTATTGTTTTCACATTTCACATAGGTCAAACAAGAATAAGAAAGGTCACTATTTGAGTTTGTGAATAACAGATACTGCTGCCATATCAGTGAACAAAGGATGCTGCAGCCTTCAGCCATCAGCCACTCCCGCCGCCTCCCCCCTGCTGACGGTGAGCTAGAGGCAAGTCAGCGTGTAGACAAGCAGGTGCCCGCTGGCAACTCCTGAGCCTCTGCAACCTCCCCCAGTGGTGCCCCCAGAGCAGACTCAGGAGGAGAAGCCCAGGACACTGGCCCTAGATAGCTAAGCACATATCAAAGGAATGCTTTCAGTGAGCCCAGACTTTCGCATCTTCCCATACATAGAAAAGCGCTAAATTCCTTAACTCAAGATATCCGGCTTTCTTTAGTTACTGGTAATCTTTTGATGTTCCAACTACCTGGTCTTTGTTGCACAAACTCCTATATATCCTGTCTCCTCCCTCGCCTCTTCAGAGCAGCCTCTTAGAGCAATCTGAGAGGCCACATTCTGCGCTCAGAAATGTTTGCTGAATAAAACTAATTCTCAGCTTTCAGGTTGTACATTTTTTTTCAGTTGATAAGTTGTATATATCCATCCTAGTCAACCTTAAACCATCTAATCAATGTTGGGAGTATTTCCAAACTCAATGTATAATTTACTAAAACTTAAGTAATCAACACTGCATTTTGTGCAATATAAATTAGACCTTTAAACTATGGTAGGAAATGACTAGTATTTCCCTACAAAAAGTGTGATCTCTACTATACCTATATAAATTCAGGTTTTCCTTTACACACGTTTTAACTGCGCTAACCTTTGCATTTGAAATATGACGTTTTCCCCCTAGTCGCTAGGCTTGGTTCCATTAGCATTTCTATTTTTCATGGAAAAGTTGCCACATGAAATGGAGTGAAAAGAAAGACAAGCAATGACATGTGAAATATCTTGCTAGGGGAAAGAGCATGGCTTGTATGAGGGACATGTATTTTCCTTGCAAATAGCATGTCCAAGGGGCAAATCTATAATCCGGGCTTCACTAACAGCAAGATGTGCTTAAAGTCTAGCCGAATGGAGTCGAAGTTTTCCACCTCGCTGCTCTTACCCATCCTATAAGAGGCAGGTTAAGTGTCAGATCTCCCAGGAAGTCTCCTTGAGCCCCCCACGCCAGGTTAGGTGCTGGTCTTCTAAATCTCTGTGGTACCTAACATGTATCTTTCTCATCACCCTTACCATATTTTATTGCAGTCATCTGTATGGGGGCTTGTCTCTTGTGCTAGAGTGTGAGCTTGTTGAGGGCAGGATCCTCACCAAATCTTGCATGGTTTTTAAGTGTCTTAGTACTTAAAATATACTCAGTCCACATTGGCTAAACTCAATTACAGTGTGTACCATTTAGTAATAGGTTCAAAGTCCAAAGCCAATCCCGAAGTGTGAACAAGGGGATGGGAGAGAATGTCTACAACAAGGTTAAATGACCCAGATGCTCACTCAGGTCTCTCAGAAGAGAAGATCCACTTGAGCCCCAACATTCAAGCTCTAAATGCAAGTCTAGGGATCAAGTCCCCGTTTCCAATGCACCAGGGCCTGGGTGAAAGAAAGAAATAGGACATTTTGCACACCATTGACTAGAAAAACAATGAAATAAGTAAGCTATGGATGAGTGAGTAGAAAAGACAAAGGAATAATTTGGTGCCCTCTAGAAAAAGAGAAGAGTAGTAACCTGCCTCTGCTGCTTTCACATATACATATCTTAAGGAACTGTGGTCATCAAGGTACCAGAAGAAAGAATAAAGCAAAGCCAGGAAGAAAACTAGGATGAAATGTTTAGAGATGCAGATCTTACCAGTTGATGGAAGACCCGTCCCCCAGGATGCTCCTGATCTCCTCCCGGCATCTCTCCTGATGCTCAGGGTACAAAGCCAGGTGGTAGAGGAGCCAGGAAATGCCTCCTGCCACGGTTTCATGCCCTGCCAACATGAATGTGTTCACCTCGGACCATAGGTCAGTATCTGAGAAGCTGTTGGCATTTTCAGCCTAAAAAGGACAGTAGTAATATATTTATGCAATGTCAGTTTATAGATGTTTAGAACCCCAATCAAAATAATGGTTTTAGGGAAAAAAAATTGAGTTTCTCTCTCTTTCTTTCTTTCTTTCTTTCTTTCTTTCTTTCTTTCTTTCTTTCTTCTCTTTCTTTCTTCTCTTTCTTTCTTTCTCTCTTTCTCTCTTTCTCTCTTTCTCTCTTTCTCTTTTTTCTTTCTCTCTTTCTTTTTTATTAAAGTATAGTCAGTTTACAATGTTGTATCAATTTCTGGTGTACAAATGACAGTTTTAATTTTAATTCAGTTCAACAAATATATACTATGAGCCACACTTTGCCCAGAGGGTAAAGGAGAACCAAATTTAGATAAGAAAAGTAAGCCTTGCAGAGTTTCTGCAATCATTCTGCCAGATTTATCCAGATTTTCCAGCGCCTCCTCCTCATCATTTTATCAGCTTACCCTGTGACTCATTTTCCTGTATTTTCCTGAACTACCTTGTATCTCTATGTTAATTACCAAATCCAAGACTAAATTTCTTACCCATTGAATGGGTAAGAAATTTAGTCTTATCTGCCTCCCTCTAGTAACAGAGTTGCAGAATTCAGTCCTTACCTCAAATGGTAGGGCATCAAACATCAATTTAAACATAATGTTAAATTTAGTTGATCAATTTTTCTTTTGTTTCCCCTCCTCTCTACTCATCCAACTACCCACACAATTAACTAGATCTATGAGCAGGCTCAGAAATTTGAAAGATTTACCTGGGCAGAAAAGACAGTATCCAGAAAATCCTGGTACCTCCTCTTCTGAACGTCCTCCTGCTTCTTCTCGTCCCTGAGGGAGTTCTTTCTCTCCTGGATTACCTTTTCTGGGGTAGAGTAATAATTCCTCAACACCAAAGTGACAACAAAGTCAACCAAAGTAGAATAAATTATAGAGCAAGCCAGGACCCATGAATAGTTTCAAATCCTGCCTCATTCCCTGAGGTCAGAATGGGTACATTATATTTAAATAGATTTAATTTTTGCTGCTGTTTATTTTCCCATCAAATGACCACCTTTGATCAAAGTTCCAAAGACACACAACAGACCAAAAATATACTTTTATAAACTAGGTAGGCAATAAAGATGATTTCAAATTTAGGTGCAAGTGACCAACATTCTTTTTTCCCTCAGTCTAATCTCTCATTTTCATGGGAAAATTACCACGTGAAATGGAGTGAAAAGAAAGACAAGCAAAGAAGTGCCAAAATATGTATAACTGAAGGGGCTAAAAGAAAAAAAATATGGAACAGAATATTTAAAACCATAATCCAAGAAAACTTTCTGTACATAAGAGAAAAATTAAATCTACATATTAAAAGGCCCATGCTACACCTGGAAAAATTGGAACAGAACAACCAATTCCAATATATATCCTAGTAGAACAATTTGACATTAAAGACAGAGAAAAGAAAATCCTCAGAGACTTAAGACAAAAAGACGAAATGAATTTTAAGGATGACAAATTAAGCTAGCATTATACTTCTCAAGAACAATAAAGAAATCAAGCAAGACTAGAGCATTTTCAAAAAACTCAAAGATATAAGGTGAGAGGCAAGTCTTTTATAGCCAGCAAAATTGTCCTTCAAGTATCAAGTCTACCAAAAAAAAGTTATAAACTTGCATGCTATTTTCACCAACATGAATGACCTTGAAGATATTATGCTAAGTGAAATTAGTCAAATGGAGAAAGACAAATACTATATGATTTCACTCACATGTGGACTATAAAAATAATGCACAATCAAACAAACCAAACAAAAACAAGCACATAGATATAGAGAACAGAGTAGTGATGGGAATGGGAGGAGGCAGAAGGGAGAAAAAAGTAAAGGGGATCAACAGTATGGTGATGAATGGAAACTAAACTTTTGGTGGTGAGCCACACTATAGTGTATACAGCAGTTGAAATATAATGTTGTTTACATGAAACTTATATAATATTATAAACCACTGTTACCTCAATTCAGAAAAAAAAACAATGACTAGTAAGCAGTAACAATATGGTAGCTATTAATCCAACTATGTCAACAATCACTTTAAACATCAATGATTTAAATACACCAATTAAAAGACAGAGAATGGGTTAGGAAAACAAGACCCAGCTGTATGTTGTCTACAAGAAATCCACTTAAAATATATAAAGATGCATATAGATTAAAAGTATAGGGGTAGAGAAAGATACACAAGGCTAGCCAACCAAAAGAAATCTAGAGTAGCTATATTAGCTTCAGACAGAAAAGATTTCAGAGAAAGAAAAATCAATAGGGATAAATAAGGGCATGACATAGTGATAAAGGGGTCAATTCTCCAAGAAGACAACGATCTTTCATGTGAATGTGTCTCACAACAGAGTCTCAAAATGCATGAGGCAAAAACTAACAGGAGAACAGGAAGAAATAGATAAATCTAACATTAAATATCTTGTAGTAACCTATAATGAAAAAGAATATGAAAAGGAATACATGTATATATATGTATGACTGAAACATTATGCTGTACACCAGAAATGGACACATTGTAAACTGACTATACTTCAATAAAAAAAAGAAAAAAAGAAATCTACTGTTATAGCTGGAGTACACCTTCCACACCCCTCTATCACTAATGGACAGATCCAACAGAAAACCAGCAAGGACACAGCTGAACTGAACAACATCGTCAATCATCTGGATCTTTTTGACATTTATAGAATACCTCATCCATCAACAGCAGAATACACCTTCTCAAGCTCATACAGAACATTCACCAAAATAGACCATATTCTGGGCCATAAAACACACCCTAAATGCAAAATGTAAAACTATAAAACTCTTAGAAAATAACATAGAGGAAAATCTACATGACCTTGGGTTTGGCAATGACTTTTTAGATATGATACCAAAAGCATGATCCATGAGAGAAAAAAATTGATAAAAGGGATTTCATTAAAATTAAAAACTGCTGTTCAGGAAAATAAACAGGATAATATAAAGATGAAACACATACTGGGAGAAAATAGTTGCAAATGACTCTTCTGGCGAAGGACTGTTATCCAAAATATACAAAGAACTCTTAAAACTCAACAATAAGGGAAAAAACAACCTGATTTAAAAGTGGGCCAATGACCTTAACAGACACCTTACCAAAGACTATATGCAAATAGCAAACAAGCATATGAAAATGTGCTTCACGTTATATGCCATCAGGAAAATGCAAATTAAAACAGCAATAAGATACCACTATGCTATCAGAATGGCCAAAATCCAGAACACTGACAATATCAAATTCTGGCAAGGATGTGAGCAATAGAAACTCTCATTCATGGCAGGTGGGAATGCAAAATGGTACAGCCATTTTGGAAGAAAATTTGGCAGATTCTTACAAATAAACATTTTCTTACCATACCATTCCCAATCACCCTCCTTGGTATTTACCCAAAGGAGCTGGAAACTTACATCCACACAAAAACCTGCACACAAATGTTTATAGCAGCTTTATTCAAAACTGCCAAAACTTGGAATCAAAGTAATCAAGACGTCCTTCAATAGGTGAATGAGTAAACAAACTGTAGTATACTCATGCAATAGAGTATTATTTAACAATAAGAAGAAATCAGCTATCAAGCCATGAAAATACATGGAGGCACTTTAAATGTACATTGCTAAGTGAAAGAAGCCAATCTGAAAAGGCTACATACAGTATTATTCCAACTAATAACATGGAAGAGGCAAAACTATAGAGACAGTAAAAAAAAAAAAAATCAGTGGTTGCCAGAGGGAAAGAGGAACAATTAATGGAGCACAGGGGAGTTTTTAGGACAGTGAAACTATGCTGTATGATATTGTAATAGTGGATACATATCATTATATATTTGTCAAAACCCACAGAGTATGTAACATAAAGAGTGCACCCTAAACTATGGACTTCAGTTAATAATAATGTCTCATCAGTTATAACAAACGTACCACACTTATGCAAGATGTTAATAAGAGAAACTGTGTATCTGTGTGTCTCTGTGTCAGGGACAGAGGTGAAGAAGTACAGGGGAACACTGTGCTTTCTGCTCAATTTTTCTGTAAACTTAAAACTCTATGAAAAATACCTTATTAATTTAAAAACACCACAAAAAACTCTTTAAATAAGTCAGTGTGAGTATAGCACATGAATAGATAGACAGACCAATGGAATAGAAAACAAAATTGAGAAATAGGTCCAAGTACATATGCCAATTTAGAAAATGAGAAAAGTGGTTGTCTCAAATCACTAGAAATGCTAAAGCTTTTAAATAAATGGTAATGGGATAACTGGATAACCGTTTGGAAAAATGAGATCAACTCTTCATATTATACATAAGAGTAAACTTTAAATGGATCAGAGGTCTAAATGCAAAAACAAACAAACAAAAAAACAAAACAAAACCATACTAGAAGCACTAGAAGAAAGCATGGGTGAATTTCTTCACAATCTGGAAGGGCAGCTGTTCTCAACCAGAGACAATCTGGATCCCAAGGAATATTCAGCAATGTCTGGAGATGTTTTGATTGCCACAACTGTCAGAGTTCCAATAGTATCAAGTGTGTAGAAGTCAGGGATGCAGCTGAACGTCCTACCATGCACAGGGCAGCTCCTCACAGCAAAGATTTATCTAGACCCAAATATCATTAGTGCCACAGCTGAGATACCCTGGAATAGGGGAAGGCTTTTGACTATCACTCAAAATCCAGATGCAGTAAAAGAAAATGTTGATAAATTTAACTAAGTAAAAATTTGAAAATTTGAAAAGGTTTTATTTTGAACAAATTTGACATTTAATCTTTAACTAATACTCTGCATTTTGTTTTTCATCATAATTCTGTAATAGAAAGAAAATGTGAAGAATTTTTTTACCAAGTCCTATGTAGATGCCCTCCAAATCAACTCCTGTTTACTCTAATGAGCTGTACAAATATTAATATTTTCCATGTGACCATGATGCAAACAGGTTTGAGAACTACTGTTATATATATATATATATATATATATATATATATATATCCATTTGCATCTTAAATTGTTTCTAACCTGCTTATCTGAGTGTCCTCCTATAATATCTATGTTCATGTGTGTATGGATGTATGTAAGCATGCATGTGCAGTGTGCCTTGCAAGTTTCCTGGGGTGCAAATATATTTTATATTTAACATTTATTCGGTTCCAGGCACTGTCTCCAGTGCTTTACATACATTAACATATTTAATCATCACCACAAACCTACGAGATAGATCCTTTTTTATCTGCATTTTACAGATTGCTCTGAGACAAAGCAGTAACTCGCCCCAAAGTCATACTGCTAGTTAGTGGCGGAGCTGAGGAAGGATTAATTTACTGCCTGATAAATATTCTCGATCATGGTGTTCATGGTGTTCACGAAAAGTAATGTTGAATTGCTTAAACAGCTTAATCGATTTCAACTTTTATGTTTGGCTAAAACTATTTATTTTTGAACCAAGCTTCTTTTCTTTTCTTTCTTTTAATGAACTAAGAACACTTAACCTGAGATCTACACACTTAAATTTTTAAGTGCACAATACGGTATTGTTAACCCTAAGCACTATGCTGTGCAACAGATCTCTAGAACTTATTCATTATTCATCAATCGCAGCATACCAGAAACATTATACCCATTGAACAGCCCCCACTTCCCCTTTCTTTTGAGTGTATGCCCAAGTTTGCTCTGTTCCTCTATTCATTCCTATGTTGCATGAATGTTTTTAACTTGTTATTATTGCAGTCACTGTGCAAAAAGCCATACGCCATGTATGCTTTGAAATATTAAATGCCCACTTGTTATGTCATATTCATAGTAATAAAAAATTCACATAATAAAAATGGTGCAATATATAGAAAACTTCTGATACGACTACTTCTATGGATGTAGCAAACTCTGCTAAAGGACTTGTATTTCCTTTGAGCATTGTCCATATAAAAGCTCCATTAAGAACAAGAGTTCTCTCTCTTTTCACATTGAGACCTGTTCCCCTAGAGAGACACACTACAGGTAAGACAGTCTGCAGACTTGGACAACCCAAACCCCCAAAATACCTGTGTGCTGATGCAGTATCTTGCTTATCTCCCACAGGCGGTGGCCCTGAGAGCTGAACTTGAAAATCATGTCATGGTGATACAAGAAATTGTACACACGGTAAAAGATGATAGTGGTGCCTTCCCTTATTGCTTTTATATAATAATCAAAGTTGCTAGAAGAGAAAGTGGGGATAATATGTCAATAAATGACTTAGATAATGGCAAACAAAAGTCTTTTTTTTTTTTCCCTCCTGCAACTGACCTGTTTATCTGGCAGTTGGTTTCCTTGCTGAAAATACATTTCATGAGAACATCCAGGGTCATCAAGTCGATGTGCTCAGAGATATCCAGAAGTGTGTTCTGAGTGCCGCAAATCCTCTCCCACTTACCCTGGCACAGGAGGCCAAGATCAACAACATCACCATCATCAAACTGCCTTTATTTGGAAGTCCGCCTTGACACTGCCCTCAGGAAACGTCCACCAGGAAGCGCCCTCTGTGAGGTTGTCTATCCCCCTCTATGGGGACTCACAGAGCTTGTGAACAATGGGGACTTTGTAGCCAGGGGTTGCCCTGTAAGCTTGGGATGAAGGCAGTTGCTAAACAGCATTGCTCTCCTCCCTTTGGAAAAGGGTGTTAATGGAGAGTTAATGGCTGAGTCACATTCTGTAGGAAGCCCTGTGCCCCTCCATTATTGCTTGCCAACAGTGGAGCCTTCTATGGTGGACCCAGGCTCTTTTGCACACACTCCCAATCTCAGCCTGTACCACACTCCAGCCCCCTGAGTCTGCCTCTATGCAGGCAACCCTGGTTCCCTCCCTGGGTCTGTCCTCAGAAGCCTGAGCTCCAGCTCCCAGTCCTGGCATACACCAGCTAGCTTGCATCTCAGGCTAGGAATGGCACAGACCCTCTGTGCTGCTTTCTCCTCTGAACCTCTGAAGCTCCCCTTCTGACCCTGCTACGCTCTCCTCTGGAGAGGGGGCTTCGCAGGGTGAGGGCACTCTCCCTCTTTCACTGCTCCCTCCCTGGCATTAAGTCCCATCCCGATTTCCTTTTTCTTTTTCTCCTACTCAGTTTCATGATGATATTCCTTGTAGTTCCACTTGTACGAGATCTTCTGCCAGAGCTCAGTAGGTACCTGTGAAAATCGTTGCACGTGTAGACGTATTTTTGATGTTTTGTGGGAGAGGGTGAGCTCCATGTCCTTCTATTTTGCCATCTTGAAGCCCCTTCCTCTCATATTTCATGGTAAATTTGAGTCTCCTCTGAATCTGAAGCTATTATAGCTGCTCTTGGTTTCCTTATTTGTCACCACAGCACCTTCTGTCTGAGTCTTATTACTTAATACTTAGTTTACTGTCATAGGATCTCAAAATATACCCATGACAGACAATCAGATCTTCACCTTCTTTAATCACCCGAAGAGCCATAGCAAAGGCTTACATGAACACTCACTGCTCAGTGAGTACTTACACATGGTTAATTTCTAGAAATCACCCTCTTTTGACTTTCACCATCCACTAAACAGATGTCTAATACATTCCCTCTTGGAAGCATTTTGCAACACACCAGAGCACCTTTGTCCCTTCACTTACCAGCATCGTGTTCACAGAATGGGCCATCATCTCGACATATGATTTCAAGGTATTCAAATGGAATCCAGGAGTTAGTAGGCGACGGTGCTGGAACCACTTGGGTCCGTTCAGATTCACTAGTCCTTCTCCTTGAGAAACAAAAGGCACGAAATGTCCTGTCATTTTTACTAGATGAGGTGGGGAGGGAGAGGTGAGAAACACTGACAGAGAGTGACCGTGACGCACAGGTGGCCAGGACACAGCACGACAGCAAAGCAGTGAGTCTCGATGCTTACACCTGTGGTGCACATATGTAGCATTATGACAAAGACCCACGTTTTGAAGCCTGATGAGAGTGCTAATCCTGAACTCACCAGCTGCTACCTGTGTAGTAATTAAGACATTTAACCTTCCTGAGACTTGGCTTTCTTGGTGACAAAGTACAGTAATAAATATCTGCTTTACTGTGTTGCTGTGCAGCGGTATACATTAGGCACCTAGCCTGGTCTCTAGCTCACAGTGGCACAACAAATATTCACAACAAATATTCATCTCCTCTCCATTCCAAACCAATCCATAGACCGTACTGTGAACACAAAATTCACGCGGAGTTAGATAAGCATGTCCACTCTGTCCCAGATGCCCTTTCCTTGAGTGCTAGTCTGTGAATGAGACAAAGAGAAAACACTCATCAAACCTAATGCCTCACAATCTTCTGTCACCAGGGAGGTCATTGAAAGATTTGGCTTTAAAAGGGCCTTAAAGTTTATTAATATATAACTGCCAACATTTACTGAGTGCTTGCAACGTGCCAGCCATTACACGAAGTGCTGAAAATAAGTGTTTCATTTAATCTTCACAACAGCCCGGAGATGTAACTCATTCTTACTTTCCAAGATGAAGAAACGGAGGCTTACAGAAATTAGATGACTTCCCCAAGATCACCCAACTAGTTAGTGGGGTTCAGGGAGCAGGACTCAAATCCAAGTAGCTCTGAATCCAAAACCTATACTCTTTCATTTAATTCCTTCCTTGTCTGACATAAATGCCAATTATATGACTAAAAAGTTTAATTTATCTGCTCACAGAATATTTCCAAACTGTACTTTGAGGCAAAACTTTACTGATTTGCATATGGAAATAGAGGAACTCCAAAAAGAAAGGGAAAGATCCAAGAAAACAAGAAAGGAAGGCTAAAATAAAGAATAGGGATGGTAAGGCTGCAGTTTTAAAGACGCAGACGGGATAAATTTACACATATGCCATCTTGCAGATGAGACTTGGGGGAGAGAAAGGAACCCCCCAGGAGGGCTCCTAGGAGGTTGTGCTGCATTGACCTTAGCCCCCTCTTGACCTTCCTCCTAGAAAACCTGCAGTATAGATCTTACTCTCAAGGCTTCTGAACTCCGATTTGAGTTTCCTTGGAATGTTCGCCTATAGAAAGGAGACAGTGAGTGAGAGCGAGATCCTCTTTCATTCCACGTACGTACCAATGACTGGAGTCGTGAACTTGCACAGGTACTTGGACTTGGGATCTGCAGAGTCAAGCAGAGGAAACAAAAGACAACATTAGAGGAATGTTACTAAAGCTGATGAAGGTTCTCGTCATTTGCCTACAACAACCACAAATAGTGAGCAAAAAGGGAGCCCGGCCTCATTCCCCGCAGCCCTCGGCCGACCCAGGAATGGTAAGTTTTGGTTCAGGAGGCAGACAACAGCAGCCCAAGGAAGCAGGCAGATACACAAACCCAGAATCTCTCCTTGTTTGCACTTCTTCCAACAGAAGGAGATTGCCTGAGGTTTACCAAGTTTTCAGATCAGGAGTGGGGATAACATCACATCCTTCTGGGAAAGCAAATTACCTATCTAAGCAGGGCAGCAGACCCCAGAGAGTGAGAGCCCCCTTGGGGTTCTCGTGAACTTGAACATGAGAGTATTTTACAGCTCTTGTCCTTTACAAAGTGAACACGAAGTGAATCAGAGCTGGAGGACTGGGAGACACGGAGACTTTCAGGAAAAGGCTGCTCTGTTTCGCCAGGTTTTACTAAGAGTAATGGGGGTAACAGTACAGAGAAGGAAGATGAGCATGTCAGACCCTAGTTTTACAAAGATGAGGGGGAAAACTCGGCATGTTAATTTCGTGGTATGAGATAATCTACCTTGGAAGCCTTGAGAAAGGACTGAATGGGGGAGCCAGATGCCTCATGGCCCCAAAGGGAACACAACAGACAAATTTGCAGAAAACAAAAACAATCTGGATGACAATCAGGACGACAGAGTGGTAAATGGGTGATGTACACTCAGGCTTATGGACCAAGCCAGCAGAGGCAGTCCCACTTCTGAATTTCTCTGTAGACACTGTGCTCAAGCCAGAGGCTAGGGATGACAGGGATTGGTGATGCTGAAGTCACAAAACCAAAAGAGGCAAAGGAAGACGCTGGAGATGGTGCCAGGTGGGCTTTACGATACAGTGACCTAAAAGGGCCCGCAGGAATCTGAGCTGGAGAAGGAACTGCGCGACCCGGGAATCTCCTCCAGGACTGATGGGAAACCTCTCCTCACTTTCCCCGGCGTCTCTTAAAGGCCCAGTGCTAATCTTTGCTTCAGAATTCCTTTAGACTCCTACCTGTGGGTTGTGCAGATCACTCCTAGGAGGGTTAGGATCCTGAGGTTCATCCCTTTTCTTACCTGTTCTGCTCAGAAATGTCTTTGCATACTCTGGGTCATAGATGTAGAAAAATGCCTGAAAGGGCCCAATCCAGAAAGGAAAGGCACAAGGGTAATTTTCTATAATCTCCTCAAGCTTTTCAATGTCACTGTGCCGAAATATCTGCAGCGAAAAAAGTGAAGCACATTAGAGAAGCTAGGCAGTCTGGGCTCATCCCTGCTACAGCCACAATTTGTGCTCGGGGCCTGGAGGGTCACACAGGTAGAAGGGCCTGGAAGTGACTGAACATGCTCTCGCAGGGACTCCTATGCTTGGGGTATAACTTTCTAAACAAAGTTACTATATTTGTCTCTCCAATATAAATAATATATGTTGTCTCCCCAGACCAAGTCACCATCAAATGACATACTGTGAGCTGTTTTCCCAACTGAGAGGGTGAAGGGAGCAGAGTCACATACTCTGCCTCACCTGCCAACATCACACACTCAGGTTAGGAGTTGAGTCTGGGAGATGAAAAAAATGGTTTTTACATGGGAAGCTAACTGTTAGTAGACTGAACAGGGCCCACCATTCCAGCTCACCATTCCCTTTCCCCTCTCCTCTCTCTAATTACTGACGAGTGAGTCTCTCTCATGATGTAATAGTAACTTCTTCTTTAAAAATCCACTGAGACTGATACGTTGTAACTGACTACACTTCAGTAAAAAATAAATTAAAGAAAAACCAACTCCATCTACAAAGAAAACCCAATTCTTTTCCTTTACAATAGTAGAACGCTCATTTATACAGGCGTGTGAAGTTTAGAGCAAACTCAAATAGAACACTTCCAACTCTAACATTTATAAATTAGAGTACAAATACCACTATCAGAGATAAACTTTCTGCCTTGATAAGCAGATTACTATGGCTCATTTAAATAGTTCTTCGAAATCACTGGCAATAAGACCCATTTACATCTGTTTCTGTGTAAAGTGGTAGGGTGGAGAGACTGTGTGTGTCTGGATAGAAATAATTCTAAAACGGATGGCGGTTATGGTTGCACAACTCTGTGAATATACTGAAAACTATTTAATTCTACACTTTAAGTGAGTGAATTGTAAGGTATGTGACTTAACATCTCAGTAAAGCTTTCAAAAGCTACAATGAAGTAATTCATTTACCAGAAGACAAAATATAGTAATGGTGTCAGTGAAGAACGGGATTTGCTTTAACTATGGGCTTGTGCATATGTAATGGACAAGCCAAACCAAAGAGCACAGAGAGAATAGGAACAAGGAAGATGCAAGTTTCCAAGTGCTAAAGACACGGAGATAAGACAGGTTCCTGCCTGACACTATAGCGGTCACAGCTGGCGGTGGATTTATGTTTCATTTAACACTCACATAGCATTTACTACATGCCAGGCACGATCTTAGTTCTTTTCAAATATCAAATAAGTTTATCCTTTGAACAAGTCAATAATATAATAGTAATTATATTCAATGTAAATAGGCTAATTATTTCAAGTAAAAGGCAAAAGGTATCAGGTTGTATCTTTAAAAAGCCTAACTATATACGACCGACAAAAGACACAAGGTTAACAGTCCAAAAGGTTAACAATAAAGGATTAAAAAATACCATTCAAACACTAACAAAAAAGCTTATGTAGTTACTAATATCGGATAAAGTGGAATTTAAGGCAAGAAGTCTTACTAGAGATAATAAGGAATGTTTCATATATAAAAAGGATTAGTCTACAAGGAAGATACAGTAATTCAAAATCTGTATGCATACTATACTATAGCTTGAAAATTGATAAAACAAAAATGGACATTAGAGCTAAAAAAGAAAGAAAGAAAGAAAGAAAGTAATTCAAGAGTGGAAAACTTTAACACAGTGCTACTCAAAGCATGGGCCACAGACCAGTCCAGGATGAGATACTTACAGAAACCAAGCATGACATTTAGAAATTTTTATAGTAACTTGACATTGCTACAATTTCTTACTTTTTTTAAAAAATGAAAGTAAAAGTCTACAACAGATTGGGGAAAAACTGGTTTTCACCAGATAGTTTCAGAAGCACTGTGTTATATCATTCTCAATAGTTGGTAGAATGGATCTCTTGGGCCAATTTCAGTTTTCCCAACTTCTGATTGATGGCTCCTTTTCAATTCTAGTTTCTGGAAGGTGTGGAGGCGAAAATCAAACTCTAATGAGAAACAGAGTAAATGGAAGTTGAGGAATGAGAAATTTAGAAAAGGTTAACCAGTTTAAATTAAAATTAAAATTAAAAAATAAAATATTAAATATAGAGCAGTAACTTAAAGGAGAAATAGATTAAAGGAAGGGCTGGTTCAACTCCAGGTCTCTGCTCTCTCCCCACACAACACCCTCTTAGGTTCCACAACAGATCAGATGTTTTATTTTCCAGAAAAACTCAACCAGAGGGGCTCTAAGACCTGAAGGAATCAGGCATTGTGGAGGGCAGGGGTGAGTCACTAGACTGAAAATAGAGGGGTTAAGTGAAAGGCTACATAACAAATGATTAGATACCTAACTCCCTTCCTTTCTTGCTCCCACAATGCCAGAAGTCATCTGGCAACCTCCTAAATAAAAGAAAGGCAGATTCATCTCTAAGAAACTGAAAAAAAAAAATACAGATACTGACAGTTGGCATCTCCAACAGGTTTGCACTCAGGGAAAGTTCTCACTGTGCACCCAAGACTTTCAAACATCTTTAGTGCCTCACTTGAGAAAACGAAATGACAGCTGAAGACCACCTGACATTTGAGGACAGCCTCCAACATGAAAGACATAAAGCAAAACAAACAAACTGTGGTAGCCAGCCTCCAAAAAGACCTCCAATCACCCCCACCTTTTTATACGGTCCCCTCCCATACTGGTCAAGGATTTGTCAGTGTGACTAACTGCATACAGCAGAGTGATGGTATAAATGTTTCAATATCAGGTTACGAAAGACTGCAGCTTCCATCTTAGGTTCTCTCCCACTCTCACTCTTGCTCTCTCATATCTGACTTGGAGGGAAACAAGCTGCCATGTTGAGGGCAGAGTGACTAACTCTTCCAGCTGGCCTGGACAGAAGGGGTTGCCAGGATACAAAACTTTCAGAACTAAAATCAGGAGACAATCAGGCAACCTGGGATGATGTGAGCAGCCCTATGGAAAGGTCCACGTTGGAGAAGAACGTAAGCCTCTGGCCAATAGCCAGTGAGGGCCTAAGTCCTGTCAAAATCCATGTAAGTGAACTTGAAAGTGGATTCCCCAGCCCCAGTGGAGCTGTGAGCTGACTGCAGCCCCAGTCAACCACAAGCAACCTTCTGAGAGACCTTGAGTCTCTCACAGAGATTCATCCAGCTAATTAATACCCCTTTCTCAAACTCTTGACCTTCACCAACTGTGTAAGACCTTCCCCTTGACCTTCACAAACAAACTGTTGTCTTAAGTTGCTAAGTGCGGGGGTAATCTGTTAGGCAGCAACAGATAACTAACACACAAACAGAAAAAAGGTATTAATACTTCAGAAAAGATATAGCATTCCATGAAACAAGGTCAGGATTCTATAACAAAGAGGAATATGTTAAACTGACTGCAGTCATGGCCTTAATTTGTTAACGTCTCCCTGTATTCATATACTTCGATAGTGTGCTTCCACACAGACTTGGACTTGGCCGTGTGTCTTGCTTGGGGATAGCAGCAAACATGACTCAGAGACCTAAAAAGCACTTGCACAGTGAGGCTTGCCCTCTTGCTATTCATAGGACCCTGATACCATGTAAGCAAGGCCAGGCTAATCAGCTGAAGGATAATAAACCAGATGGACGAGAACCAAGGCACCCAAGCTGACAGCCAGCTTTTACCTGACCCAGTAGCTGACTGCAGATACATCAGTGAGCCAAACTAAAGTCAACTGAGCCTGCTTCATGCGAGCAAGAATCTCATAGCCTAGACCAGCTCAGATTGTTGACCCACAGAATCATGAGCTAAATGGGTGACAGTTGTCTTAAGCCACTAAGTTTTAGGGTGTTTTTTTTAATGCATCATAAGGTAAATGATGCAAGAATAAATGAAGACTAAGACAGAGTTCTTGGAAATAAAAATTATGATAGCCAAAAAATTTTAAATGTTTTAGTAGAAATTCTAAGAAGATAAAGTGAAGAAGAAAAGATTAAAAAAAAAATCCAGAAGGCCCATATCCAACCATTAGGAATTCCAGAAAGAGAGAAAAGAGAAATTGAGAGAGCTAGGGAAAGTATCAAAGAAATTGTAACATTCACTGTTAATGTCCTGTACCTAAATCTTCATCCTTACCACCTTAATGTGTACCATAATCAGCACCTTCATTTATTAACTTAAGGGTTTTTTCTGGCCACTGGAGTCTGTCCTGCTGCTTACATATCAAAAAATAAATAAAACACGTAGGAGATGAGACCAAGCATTGGAAAACTACGTATTTTTAAACAACAAGGTGAAAGACTTGTTAAGTGAAAATTTAAAGATATTGCTGAAAAAAATTTAAAAAGACATAAGTAGGAGGAAACACATCCCATGTTTATGCACTAGTATTGTTAAGATGTGACTACTACCCAAAGCAGCCTACAGATTCAGTGTAATTCCTATCAGAACCCCAATGATGTTTTTTGCAGAAATAGAAAAATCCATTCTAAAATTAATGTGGAAAAGCAAAGGACCTTGAAGAGCCAAAATGATCTTCACTAAGAATAAATCTGGATGACTCACATTTCCTGATTTCAAAATTTACTATAAAACTACAGTTACCAAAACAGTATGGTTCTTCTAGAGAAAATTCCAATTTGAAAAGATACATGCACCCCAATGTCCATAGCAGCACTGTTTTCAATAGCCAAGACATGGAAGCAACCTAAATGTCCATCAACAGATGACTGGATAAAGAAGCTGTGGTGTGTATGTGTGTGTGTGTGTGTGTGTGTGTAGGCCTATAAAATTCTTAATAGAAAACATAGGACAAAAGCTTCACGACATTAGTTCTGGCAACAATTTCTTGGATATTGGCACAGGCAACAAAAGGAAAAACTAGACAAATTGGACTTCATGAAATTAAAAATTTTTTGTACATGAAAAGACAGTACCAACAAAGTAAAAAGACAACCCTCAGACTGAAAGAAAATATTAGCAAATCATACACCTGGGATTAATATCCAGAATATACAGAGAACTCTTAAAACTCAACAACAAAAAACAAACAACCTGATTCAAAATGAAGGACTTAAACAAATATTTCTCCAAGTAAGATATGCAAATGGCACTGAGTGCATAAAAAGATGCTCAACATCATTGATCATTAGGAAAATGCAAATCAGAATGATGAGCTACTACCTCACACCCATTAAGATGGCTATAATTAAAAAAAAAAAACAGGGAAAGACAAGTTTTGGCAAGGATGTAGAGAAATTGAAATCCCTGTGCACTTCTGGTGGAAATGAAAAATGGTAGAGCCACTGTGGGAAAAAGTATCGTAGTTTCTTAAAATATTAAAAATAGAATTAACGTATGATCCAGCAATTCCATTTCTGGGTATATACCCAAAAGAATTGAAAGCAGGATCTCAGAGATATTTGTACACCCGTATTCACAACAGCTAAAAACACAATGTAACTCAACTGGGATAGTAAAAGTGAGGTGTAAGAGCTAAGGTAGTTAATAGATGGATATTTAAAATTATTAAATTAAGAAATGCAACATAGTAATATTATTCCACAAATAAGGATTTAAATGAACAGATAAAATAACTGAAAATGGCTGCTTTCAGGAAGAGGGACTAGCAGCTGGGGAGCCAAGAGATCACGCAGTAGCTCTGTTGGGAACACCCTCCCTACCCACCCATCTTTTAAGATTCTGCTTAGCCTTTCACCAACTCTTTCCTCCCGTAGGTAGAGATAGGTACTTCCCTCCAAGATTCTCTGGTCCCTATGCCTCTGTCCAAGCACTCATTACTCTGTATTTTCATTTTCCACCTGCTATCTAAATATGCATCTGACTTGGGGCCCTTGAGGACAGCCCCTCCCCGCCTCGTGTCTTCTCTTTGTAATCCTAGTACCTATCACACAACTGCCACTCAAAATTGGTTGCAGGAATAAAACAAGGAATGGTGTGGGGAGTGGATTTAGAGAACAGGAGAGACCAAAAGGTAGCGGGTCTCCCTCTATTTCACGAATTCCAATTAGTCATTATTTTTCATGTGATTGGTTGGGGCTGTTCCTACTTCACAAGAATCTCCGTTGGAAAGGCTAAGGATGGCAACTACTGTGTCTAATTTTGCCTATCTTCTGCACTTAATAAGTGTTACTTAGGATAACAGTCTATTTTTTAGCAATATATGTGGAAGGCTTTTTAAAACACAGTACAAAAACGCAAGAGATTGGTGAAGCAATTAGAGACAGACCTGAGTTATACCACAGCTTTCTTTTGCTATATTCAGTCTCTTTGAATAGACCACTCCCAGCCCCCCAAACTTCCTTTCTAGTGGCTCTAGGGTGTTTCCATTCCCCTGGAGGGCAGTGAGGGAACATGTTTAGAATAAAGAAAGCACCGAGAGCCACAGGCTGGGTAGGAGAGCTCTGTGGAGGACGAGGGATGGGAGGGATGGGAGGAAGTAAAGGAAGCAGCTGCTTCTCTGCCCGCCGGGTTTCCAGGTTTCCAGCATCCTCCGCCACCCCTCCCTTCCGTCTCTCTACCTTCTGGTGCCCGTAGAGCCAGTGGGTGGGAGGCGTGGGGAAGGGGCGCAGGTCTCGAAGCAGCCGGTGCCTCTGCAGCAAAAGCCTGATGACCTGCAGCAGCCCCAAGGCCAAGCAGAACGCCAACGCCAGGTAAAAGGGCCTTGCCCAGTGCGTCTCGAGCCAGGAGGACTCCATCGCTCTGCGCCGCGCGGATTGCTGGCAGTCTCCGCGCCGCGAGAGGGGGTGCGCTTTCTAGAGCCCCGCTCTTGGGAGGATCCACCCGCCCCGTCTCGGGGAAAGCCAGCCCACCTCGTCTCCGTGCCCTTCGGCAAGATAATCGCTTCCCCGGAAAGAGAAGGAGCGGTGGGAGGGGCAGCTGAAGCTTGGCGGGAGGAGGCAGGCTCGAGTGGCCAGAGGATTTCCAGCCCTTTAGCAATTGATGCAAATCTGCGTTCAGGGCAACTTCTTATCATGGAGTGTCATAATTCAAGTGTGACAGTCTTCAGTCCCAGAAGGTCTGAACTTAGGTTTTGAAATAATGCCAAGGCTGAGGTCATTGTTTTTGTTCTTTGCCACAAATCAATAGTAAACTGCTGTACAAAAAGACCTTTCTTTCCCACTCTGAAATTGTACCAAATCCCACAAGGGTCTGGGGGCTGATGGTGGGTGTGTATGATCATTAGACGGTATATAGTGTGGCCTCAGTAGTGTGTTGGTAAATATTTTACAACTGGTCCTTACTCTGATTTCTTGTGCTTGCCAACGGCCATCATGTCCTATGTCAAGCAGCCAGCAGAGGACCCTGACTGAACATGGAATTGGGAAGAGATGCAGAGCAGATGCCATCTTATAGTATTTCCACCACACAGATACAAACAGGGCCCGCTGCATGATTTGTGGATCCTAGGGAAACATGAAAATGTGGGACTCCTTGTTAAAATTTTATTAACAATGTCAAGATGATGGCCGAAGAGCATTAAACTAGGCATGCACCCTTCCAAGTGCCCATGAAGCCAGCCCTGGATGCAAGAGATGCTCTTAATCTCAAGATCATAGAAAATAGTAAAATATTTAGAAAGTAATGGTTCGTATTATTTATTACTTATCAGGTGGTGAACTGCTGTTCCCCACACCCAGCCTTCTTTTTACACATTACCCACTATTCTTTAATTTGTTCATTTATTTATGCTAAAACAGGCACATGTTAGGTGTTGGATTTGCAGCCTGGAACAATAAACCCTATCTCTGCTGCAACTCCCTATTCTCCTCCCATCATGCCTCCCACTCCACAGGTCCCCTCCCCAATCTCTGGAACCAAATTTTACTTGGCAGGTTAATGGTTAAGACAGACTCCAGTGAAGATTTCTTCATGTGGACCAATTACTGGCCCCTCGAATGTTCCAGTATGCACCACACATGAAGTGTTTCAGCTCCCTCTTCCCCAGACCTTCCCACCTCCCACCTACCTACATCCCTCAACTAGAAGTTGTTATTTGAATATTCTGATGTACACAGTCTCTTCTGGAGAACTTATGGCATTTTAATTTTTCAGATTCTTCCTCTGTGCCCTGCTCCTTCCCCAAATTGTGATGAGTGTATGGTGGCCCTCTTAGGGCTGCATAATAGTGAGCAGACTGAAGACATCAGGTCCGTGCCTTAGGGTCCTGGCTAGTCTCAGCTTTGTGAGAGGTCGTCCGCCAGTCTGGTCCCTGGGTCCTTTGTGCTGGCTGACAAGGAGTAGGGTGTAGTTGGTGAACTTCTAGTTAGTTCTCCCCACAGGGTCAGGGCCTGGGCACACCTCAGCTGACACACTCCAACCCAGGCTCTTGCTGGAGGAGTTAATCCCTCCAAGACCTGGCCAGGCCATCAGCTGCATCCCATGTCCTTCCTTGGAAAACAAAGGAAATTTGAGGCTTTTTGCAATAGACCCAGGAGCCTAAGAGAGGCTCAAGGCTGCTTGCTCAGGCTCCTTCTCTGCTTCACTGCCATTTTCACTCTGGTTCTTCCCCAAAAGACGACTCTCAAATTTACCTCAATCTGTGCAAACCCCCCTTCCAGGATTGTAGCCTAGACTGGAGGAAATCAGGTACTGTCCTGACTGCTGGCTTCCCAACCTCTGCCAGTACTTGCCCCAGCCTACCAGGCTGGAAAAGGTGGGGTTTTTCCCCAACGTCTCTTTCATGTAGTAGAAACTTTCCTTGTGATATTGCCTGTGTTCCCTCCAGCCCTGACTGAGAGTGAAGATCTACAACCCAACAAGACATGCTAAGGGGAGATACAGGAACTTTGAAAATTATTTATTCTGGCCAGAGACTGGCTTTCAATGTTTATTGAGACTCAAAAGTCCCATTTTGGAGACCAAAAGCAGAGCAGCAATCCCTTCCTTCTCTCAGCATTCCTGTGCAATGGCCATTGAATTGAAGTTCCTTGGCTGCAGTACAGGAGATAGAGGACACCCTCCAGTAACACAGATAATGATGCTTGGCAGGCCCAGGTAAGGATTTCAGACTTTACTTAGGCTATGAGGATCCACTGAAGGGATTTAAGATGGAAAGTTCCATGGTTAGTTAGTAGAGCATTCTGATGCCTATTTGGATAATCATAGCATGTAAACATCTACTGCATGCTTACGGTGCCAAGTACTATCCTAAAGTGATTTACATGTAGTGACTTATTTAATTCTCATAGTACAAATCTGAGGTTGGTATTACCATTATCCCTATTTTACATATAGGGAAGCTGAGACACAGAGAGATTGTGCAATTTGCCCATGGACATCAGAGGGTAAGAAGTGAGATCAGGATTTGAATCCAGACAGTTTCAGGAATCCAGGACCCAGGATCTTAACATTTATGGGAGCAAATTTTGTGTGTATAGAGAGTGCAAGACTGGACCAAGGAGACCAGTTCTAATGCTGCTGTCATATTCAGATAAGACGTGGTGATGGCCTGGAATCGGGGAGCACCTTGGGACAGAGAGGCAGGATGAGTGGGAAAAATACTGGAGTGTATTTTTGATGGAAATCGGTAACTGACTAGATTTGAGCACAGTAGGGAAGAAATCTAGGACGAGCCCGTGTTTTTATTCATTGAGGTAGAAAACGTGAGAAGAATCAATATTCTCTAATCCGTTCCTTGGCACCTGCAGTTCTTGTCCTGTGTATCTTGTGCTCCTCTCAAACCCATTTTGAAGACTTACCGCCTCTATGAATGTTTCTCTAACCACCCTCAGCCCATGGGAATCTGTCCTGTGAACAACTAAAAATACTCATTTTTATGGCTCTCATTTGATACCTTGTTCATGTTTTCACTTATTTTTTCACGCCACAATCAGCAATCCTATGCAGCCTCATTATGTACCTCTTTGTACATAAAGCTTGCTTCCTAATTAGATCTTAAAACTCTATGATGGTTTAAACATTTTTTTTTTCATCTTTTGGACTCCCTTGGAGCCCAGCTTTAGGCTAGACACACAGTAGATGTTTTATAAATAGTTATTGTTGTGGTACACAATGGTGGCTGGTCGGTGACATGGTGACACATGGGTTGGTAAAACAATTTACGAGAGATAAAGTATAGGAATAGAAAAGGAATTTATTAGAGGTACATACCATAGACAACAGAGGGCCACACAGACGAGAGATGCCTGTGTGAGCACTGAGGGCCGGTTGTTGGGGGTCTTTTATACAGTAGGGTCACAAAGTACCTGATCAGCTTGTGCACAATTCTCTGGTTGTAGGTGAGGTCAGAGGTTAAGGGTCTGTGAAGGGGAGATGGGGTTTATGACTCTGATAAGGTGGGCTGAAACAGGCCAGCCTGAGCATTACCTAGGGCTATTTGTTAGGGGAAATATGCCCAGTAAAGAATCTACTTTAGCCCAGGAATGAGGGTCATTGGACTTTGACGTCAGTTGGCCCAACAAGATGTGGTCCCTCAGCCACAAAAAAGAATAAGATAATGCCATTTGCAGCAACGTGGATAGATCTGGAGAGCATCATACTAAGTGAAGTAAGCCAGAAAGAGAAAGAAAAATACCATATGATATCACTTACATGTGCAATCTTAAGAAAGGACACAAATGAAGTTATTTACAAAACAGAAACAGACTCAAAGACATAGAAAACAAACTTGTGATACCAGGGGTGAGGGTGGGGAAGGAGGTAGGAAGGGATAAATTGGGAATTTAAGATTTGCAGATACTAAACTCCTTTTCTATTCTATACTTTATCTCTGGTAAATTCTTTTACCAACCTGCGTGTCACTGGCTCACTGACCAGCCGCCCCAATGTGTCCCACAACACATCTTCTTTATCCAGTCATCTGTCAGTGGACATTTATGTTGTTTCAACATCTTGGCTATTGTAAATAGTGCTGCTATAAACATTGGGGTACATGTATCTCAACAAACTTCCACAACATTTTTATGAAAGTATTGAGACTGGGTATAAATCACTTTGTTCTGCTCTTAATTTAACACAGTAGTTAAAGTTTTTGAAGGGGTTCGACTGGGAAGACCAACACGTTAGAAGTATGAGGCAGGATAGGGGGAGGGAGTGGGCAGATTAGATCTCTGATGCCAAATAACCTCAGTTTTCTTAGAGGAGTCTGAGGCATCTTCTGCCCTGGCAGGGACAAGGACGACTGAGTGCCTGAGCAGAGTGGGGACTTGGACAAGCTGCTGTGGTTAATACCTGGGGACATTGGCAAGCAAGTTGTTCAAAGACAGTGGGATTTACATAGCAGTTCCATGCTGAGGGCCAAGGACACATAGTTGCTTTATTTCCTCCTGCAATAGCCTGGAGGTTAAGAGTATGGAAATGTTCAGGAAGGAGGCATAGAGCCAGACCCCACACTTGCTGCAGCCTCCTGTATAGCAGCCAGTGCCAGGCAATGTCAGGATACAAAGATTTCCCCGGGGCAGCTCCGCATTTGGTGGAGGGGACAGGTTGATAAGCAAAGAGCTGTAGTACAATGGATAAATGTTACAACTGGAAGGGCCCAAATGGATTATCTAGACCTCGTCCTGTTTTACAAATAAAGAAATTAAATCCAAAAAAAGGAAAGGGGCTTGCCCTAAGACCCTTCTTTCCAGATTGAGAATTCCAAGTCCTTTCTCCTTTCTTCCTTGTCACCTGTGTGACACAGCAGTTGCACTGGTCTCCCCAGTTCCTCTGGATGACACAACAAGTGAATCAGGGAAAACTTTGAATGTGTTGAATCGCGTGGCTCTGTTACTTTGAAAATAATTCCAATATTTTAAAAACTGGGTAGAGAAGTGTGAGTCTCCAGAGGAGGAAAAGGATCAAGCAGAGATGTATAAGGGAAACCAGGAGCACCAAGTGTTGTGGAATACAAGGAGAGATTTTTTTTTTAATTTTTTGATTGAAATATAGTCAGTTTACAATGTTGTGTAAATTTCTGGTGTATAGCATAATGCTTTAGTCATACATGTACATACATATATTCATTTTCATCATCTTTTTCATTATAGATTACTACAAGATATTGAACATAGTTCCCTGTGCTATACAGTATGAACTTGTTATTTATCTATTTTATATACCA